TTAGCTTCTTAGCTTAGCCTCCGTCACAGCGACATATGTCGCAGCCAACTGATCCAATCATTTTAGACTTCAGCAGAGGCCACGCCTCCTGCAAGAATCACTTGTCTATGCATCAAGTCCAGACCCTTGTACGAAGCAAAGTGAAGGACAGGGTCTGGTTTAAACCAGGCTATGTTTTTTTAAAGTGAACCCTGATACTCTGAGCCATCCTCCAGCTCAAAAAGCTATAGAGGATAGAATTTACTGAAATATGTTATCTATAGGAGTTTCAAATGCTCTATTGACTTTATTTTTAACTTATACACAGGTACTTTTATAATGTAGAATTTCAAGAGAGTGTCTGTTATTAGTCTGAGCCTCATTAGGTTCTAAGGAACTTTATGAGTGAGCTCTGTCACACTCAGATTTGCCAAAACTATGGTTCAGATACCGTTACCAAAACATTAACCTGGGTGGTACAACAATCCAGGAGAAAGCAGACAAAGGGAAGACAAAAAACTTTGTAGATTTGGAGTATTTATTTTATTTTTAGCATCATGAGCTGATTCTGTCAAACAGCTGTGGAGCTCCATTTGTTCATGTCAACCGAGGAAGCATAGAAGCAAATTGAAGCATTTTTCCCCCATCAGCCTCACTGATAGGTGGTTTTCTTATGGTTACACAGCTGTTTAATCCAATTCCCTTGAGTTCCCTTCACATTGTGCATATAGTAATGCTCTTATTTTCACTATTAAACGTAGTTGTGAGTTCTAATGTTCTCTTTCTATCATTTGATTTCACAAACACATACAGGTCAACCCTTCAGATGTTTATCTGTATCGTGTTCCTCAAAAATCCACAATTTTCACCAAAGTTTTATATTAATCACACAAGATAAAATGGGGGTGGGAGTGGGACAAGTGGGGGAAAGACAAAAAGAAGGGTGGAGATAACAGTGCCTGAAGTGCAGAGGAGAAAGGAAAGGAAGACGGAGAGAGGTAGGAAACTTATTTCTAGTGGCAGAGTGGGTTGGGAGATGGTTATTTAATTTTATTTATCGTTTTGTTTTTTACATCCTACAGGCTCTGATGCACAACATAAATTTGAAGCAGAGACTTTGAAAAATTCATGAGATTGCCCTATATGTCCATATACCTGCACTATGGAGGAAAATCTGTGTAATTTACTGACAATCTGTACATCTTGACATGAATGCAAATGTTTAGGTCAGGGCTTTTTAAATTGTACGAGGGTAAGCCCCGCTTCAGAGAGCAAACAAAATACCATGCTGCCCCTCTCCCCAAATACCTATATATAATATACCTATATATATA